AACTAAAATATAGTTATATAACCTTGTAAAACATTAGACCCATTGGTTAAGTATATCAATACCAAATTAGGATTGAAGTTAATGTTATAATTTTGGAAGTTCGATTTCGTCAGCTACCTTGCGAGTTTAATAACTCCGGCTATACATAACCAAATGGTTAATGTATACCTTTTTGGAAAGTCTTAGACATCTAGTTTATCATAATGAAAATGTTGGAGTTAATGGTAAAGTGTAGTAGTCTTAGTTTAGAGAAAATCACATGGTTCAACATAAGTAAGATTCTAAGTTAGGCGTCATGCCATGTAAGTTTATGGGGACTTTATTGTGGGGCCTTATACAAGGTGTATGATATGAACAAGAAGTGTTCTATTATTTCGCATTATGTTTTAGTTATAATTATAGTGTCGTTTATTTTAAATACGAACATAATTTTAACAGGAAAATGTCCAATGTTAAAAAGAAAAAGCTTAGCTGTATTTTAATTTAACTTATGTGGTTATAACTGCGCTTAATATCATACATGATGTTAACAAACCAGTTCTAAAATGAGGTGTTACATCTTCTAGATCTGCATTTTGATTTTCTCAGGCCTAATCCAATTTCAAATTCTCTCCCGAAGGAAATTATAAGATAGATTATTGATCTGCATTAAGTTATCACATCCAACTTCAGTGTTAGGAGGGGATGGTTGTGATAACATCCTAGTCAAAAAAGCTTTGGAGGAGGTTATGGTTCCAACTTCTAGAATCATTGTGAAAGCAATCAGCCATATAGTCTCAAAGAAGAAGGGCATGAAGGGGTTGATTAGCTACATCAATCAGATTTGGGATAACACCAATCCAATTAGCCATCCAAAAATTAACCTTCTTACCATCACCAATATCCTAAGTGAGGCCCTCTAGCATACTGTGCTAGCTTTTACAAAGATTTCTCCACATATTAGAATTATAGAGCTTACTAGAAGTTTGTTTGGATAAGTCCATCTTCCTCCCATATTTGGCTTTTAGCACTTGGGACCAAAGTTGGGAAGGATTTTGATTAATGAACCAAGCCACCTTGTGAAGGAAGGCCTCATTTTGCAATCTGAGATTAATAATTCCTAAGCCACCAAGTTTCCTTTCTTTACATACCTAGACCCAACAGACTAGGTGAGCTTTCCTCTTAGCTTCAATATCATCCCAGATGAACCCCCTTTGGATTTTTATTTATCATCATAGATACCAAGATGGATGAGATTATTTTGCATGTAGAACATAGAGATAGAAGAGATAATAGTTTTTTTTATTGTTTAGACCAGCCATGTAATTTGTTATGCACCATTTCCAAAACATCACAACATAGGCTTTTATTAACTCTTCCATGCTTCATCATAGCTCCCAAATACCTTCAGAGATTCTTGGTTAGGGCAAAGCCACAAATTTTAACAATGTTTTCAATATGGGATTCATTCACATTCTTAGAGAAAAATATATTAGTCTTTTATTTAATCACATTTTGCCCTGAAATAACTCAAAAAAAGATTTAAACACTCAATGATTATTAAGATTTGATTTTTTGATGCTTCTGCAAAGAGCATGAAATCATTAGCAAAGAAGATATAAGATATTCTTGGACCCCATTTCCCTATTATCTGGGAACCCAATCTTTGTTGTCCACAACATCAGCTATGATGTGAGTGAATTTCTCCACGCATAAGACAAAAATATAAGCAGAGATTGGATTACCTAGCCTCAAACATCTAGTAGGGGTATTAGTGCCAGCTTTAGCTCTATTCTAGAGAATCTCAAGCTTAGTGGAGGAAGTATAGTTTATAATAAGGGTGATGAGATCAAGATAGAAATTGAGTTCTTCCATGACATTTCTAATAATGCTCCGGGAGATGCGATAATACACCTTTCCGATATCAATTTTGAAAGCCAAGAAACTATTTTTACCTCTCATTCTATTCATGGAATGGATCATCTCCTGGTTACTGATAATATTATCTTGAATATGCTTATAAAGCACAAAGCTAACTTGACAGGGAGAGATTAACTTTTGCTGAATATATTTTTGTTTAGTGACAATGACTTCTCTAGTACCCTTTGACAATGACTTTTAGTTTCTGATTCAAGTTCTTCTTACAAATAACAATAATATAAGCCACTGAAAATTAAAATTGATAGCATTAACATTGATAAAAAGATAACCACATTACATGTCATACAATACATAGGCACCATACATGAAATGAAAATAACAAGACACTTAAATCCTATACTACTTCGAGTGGGTCTGATCATCATCATTATCATCATTGTTCTCATTGTTATCCTCTTCATCGTCGCCATCTTGTCTATCATCTTCTGTGAAACAGAAGCATCCATGAATGCCTCCCTATATGCAATCTCTAAGTGTTGGATTCGATCTGTAAGACTAGTCAGACAAGTGTCCACTACTTTCCACCTTGAATTATGTTCACGCCTCATCCCCCTCAACTCTCATATCATGTTATGGATGGAAATCATGATATCATGAAGAATATATCCACTCTCATTGATAGGAACAAGTGAATCCACATAATGTATATGGATCTCTTCATTAGCACTATCACCAGCCTGCATCCCCCTTATCCATCGAATCCACTTTAGGCTCATACTGATACTTCAATTGTCATGTATTCTTCACCTTGGTAATTCCACACTGCTCTACCAAGCGTTTCCCAAACCTGCGGTTACAGCCTTTGATATTCTTCAAATCTCTATATCCATGGGCACCTGAAAGTGCTCAAGGATCCTCTAAACAAGCATGGCGTATGGAAGCAAACCCTTGTTAGCAATACGTAGCATAATATAGTGCCTCTGGCTAAGTTGCACTTCATTAAGAATGGCCCACATGATAGTCAAGTCACTCTCCAACACTTCCCATGATTATGAGGTCATAGGAAAATAAAGAGTTATAATGTAGTACAAGATTTTGGCATCTACAGTCAACAATCCAACACCAGACTATGTACATTGACCAAGTATCATATTACGCCTCTTCATTACAAGCACAAAGTCAACATGCCTATAACCCTTATGGCAGTATAGCGCTCCCCATCATAAGGCACAACATTCTCAATGGCATCGAAATCATCACTAAGAAAATCAATCTAGACATTAGAAGTCAAGACAATGCCATTGCCATATATATACCCTACAAGTAAAATCTCCAATGTAACGTGAATGTTTTGTAAATTGTCTTTAACATTTCCTTTGAATATGTACAAGATATCTCCTCAAGAATCTTTAAGTGTACATGGTCTAGTACAAACACAATGTTGAACCCAAATACTTTGACTCCATTATGGAATGCGAAAGATAATCGAATGAATTGACTTATCTCAGACTACTTGTTTTGAAACAAATAATTGTATGGCATGTCCATATTGCTAGCATAAACTAAAGTATAGGATGAACCAATAGAGCGATCATGACAATTCTAGGTACACCTCTCATCAGCAAGGCACTTTCATGAGTATCTATTAACCATGAGGCAGAACTAATAATCTTTAGTTAGTTACCAAATATAAGCAATCACGATGGAGAGCTAAAAAAGAAAACCAATTAAAGACAAATTCGAATGCAATAGGTTAGTCTTCAAAATTGGTATTTTCACACAAAAATCCTTGTAACATTGTGAACAATGTGACAAAAAAAATGAGATATTAAGGATGAGAATCAACCTTTACAAACAATTTGGAGCTTACGAGGATTTGAAAAACAATTTCGAACATTGGGTTGAAGAGGAAGAGATATTAAGTATGTTTTATTATGCCTTACTATTTAATTGAGTAAGGGAGCGTTTTACTCAAGTTAATCATTTACTCGAATAAGTGACCCCATTTACTCTAGTAAATGTTGGTCAACTTTGGTTTAACAATGTCAAATTGATATATAGTTTGGGAAATATGATAAAGTGATAATTTTTTAAAACAGGGACAATAAAAATTAACATAAAAGAACCATTTTAACATTGTTTGTGAATATGATGTTTTTTTTAACATTTCCACATGAACCAATTCTTGCTCACCAATTTTATTATGGCTGACAATATATACAGGGGCAAGATTAACTTATATTAGGGTAAGAATAACAAGTCTTACAATCAATCTTAACTCCCCGTTCATTTATATCTAATGGCCCAAATGACTAATAAATTAAAGCTATAAAATATAAGTGAGATCAATAACAAAGATTGAAAATGTAATTTACACCGTTGTAAAATAATCATGTTAGAATGTATCGTATGTGAGTGAGAGGATAATATTAAATTAGAAATTTATTTACCGTGTCTTAATCTCTTATCTTATTCTCCTTAAGAAAATGACTTAAATTATTCTTAATTTTTCATCTTTGAGATTCTAAATTCAAATTCATTTAGATTAATCGTATACATCTTATTTACAAATTTAAACATTTCTTCTTTAAATATTCTACGAAGCACAAACACTGGGGCATATTTTTTATGGGATCTATATAAATTACTTTTGTTCCTTTGCATTTCCTATTTTTCCTCTTGCAATAATCCTTTCTTATAAAGGTTTCATCTACACTCGAATTTTCTTGTTAAAGAGAAACATTTCTTATTCAAATAATCTTTTCCCTTGCTTCCTTTCATGAATGTATGTTAATTTATTAAGTTTATGTCTCAGATAAAAATCAAATTAGAGTTATTAATTTGATTTTGATCGAATAATAATAAAATTGATTTAATTTTTTTTTTATTTATATTCTTAAATTTTAAAAATACTCTTTTACAGTTTTATTAAACTGAGAGCTGAGATTTCACCTCACTTAAAGGGCAAAGAAGACGGGGAAATTAGAATGTTTGAATTTGAAGGATCCTTTGTTTTTTTTTTTTTTTTTTTTAAATTAAAAAAAAAACAGGGAAATGAAATGCTTTGGAATTTGGGTAACTAGAATTTAGCTTCAATTTCAATAGACTTATCCTTTTGGCATTGGCACTTTGCATTCTGGTAAACCAACAACAATGAGAGGGTGCGCATTGCCGTTAAGCAAAATGGCGCCTCCACCCCATTTGGTGAATGGCATAAAGTCCTTCCCTTTTCCGATTGCTGCAACTCACTCTCTCACCATTCACATCCCAAAACCAAAAGCCTCCTCAACTTTCCTCTCTACCCATCACCCAAAGCCCCATTCACACTTCTCATCTTCTTCTTCTTCAACTTCAGTTGCTGCCCAACAACAAGAACAACAAGAACAAGATGAAGAAGAAAACTTTCAACTACTGACAGCTCTAAAAAGTGATTACAATGACATAATGATAGTGGACACCCCAAAATCCAGAATTTTACTCCTTGATTCATCTCGTACCTCTCTCTCTCTCTGTGTGTGTGTGTGTGTGTGTGTGTGTGTTTTTAATCTCCATGTCAGAATTGTTTTAAAAATTCAAACTTTACTTCATGGATGATCTGGGTTTGAAAAGTATTCAAATGGGGTCTTACATTTTCTAAATGTCTGCATTTTTGTGTGTGTGTAAAAGGAAAGGAACTTATGTTGCTTGTGGTGGCAATCACTGTCTTCTTCAGAAATATGCCAAGGGGGTGACTGATCTATCAGAATTCCTGTTTCTTTTGTTCCAGATAATATTCACAGCATTCTCTACAAGGAGCAAAAGTGGACTGGTTCCTACTGGGTATGTTACTTTGATACTGTTAGTTTGGTGTATACGTATATATTTTGATGCTCTCTTGCGACCCCCAATTGAAAGTGGATGATGCATATTCTGTAACAGAAAAAAAAAAGTAATAATAATCAGATTGCCTAATATAAAAATTGAAGATATCAAGAACACGATTCCCTTGTACTAGTAAAAGTCATGCTTAAAATGATTATACGATATGTATATATTTAAAGATGTATTCGTGTTTGCTTGGAGTTTGCAGACATTCATTCACAAGGATGAGATCTGCTACTGCTTTTTATATAATTTTTCCTATATTCAGCTTACCCCATTGATTTAGCATTGTTATATTTTAAATACAAATCACTAACATGTGTAAAGTATCTGCGTATTATACAATCATCTTCATCTTATTTTTATGTTCTTAAAATTTAGCTCTTCTGCTGAAAATATGGGAAGTCAGATTATAAGTTATTGTAAATAAGTCTCTTGTAGGAGCTACACATGAAAGTGGTGAATCAAGCATCTTACTTTTGCTATCCCTTTAACCTCTTTGATATAATGTTAGAAATTTGAAGATATAAGTTTATCTTCATATATGCTGCTACATTTTTTTTATCTTGTATTGTCATATTCTTTGTGCATGAAGATAGTCACATACAGCTACATAAGTAGGTTTTATCATTCCTAAAATTTGTTATTTGTATCTTATGTAATTGTATGGTATTTTTGTATTTGTATTGTTGTGTACATAATAGATCAATTGTTCATCTCAGTGGTTTCTGAACTTGTTGCATTTAACAGGATGAATTTGCCAGCTTGCCAGCTATTGTTCCAAAAGGTCCCATTGCTATCTTAGGTTTGGTAATTCATTTACTTCTAAGATGGTGCACATTGTCTTAGTGAATTCATAGGATCTTGCTGGTAATATTATACTGCTTTTAAATACTTCAGGGTGGTGGAACTGCTGCTCATCTGATGCTTGACTTATGGCCTTCTTTGCAGCTTGAAGGCTGGGAGATTGATCAAATTGTAATATATGCTTCTTTTCTGCAGTGCGGTTTTTGATAAATTTGAATGGCGTTTTTATAGTATACTCCTTTGGCAATTTGTGGTGTCAGTTTTCTTATTCGATTTTTATCTCTACTTCAGTGATCTAGAGCCAATAACATTGTTGAATTCAGAAAAACAGCAGTTTTCTTATAAAGCTGACTATCTAAATTGAAAATCCATAGTCAGTGAGAACTTTCCTGTTAAAACAAAATAACCGACATGGCATTTCTACTTGGATATGATTTAGGCTATTAATCTGTTCTTAAGCTTTAAATTAAAATTATGATAGTACACTAATGCTTAGGATATAAAAGACCTCTTCATTGCCAACTACCTTTACTGTAGACCCTTGACTTCCTCAGTAGCTGACCAAGGGTAACCAGATGGTGATAACCGATAAGGTACATTTGTGTAGTAATTAAGGATTAGATGAAGAGAATAATAGTTAAAAACTAACAACTTTAGTCGCTACACTTACTAAGCCTCTTTTAGAGGTTGATACTGTCAATTAATTGTTCATCGATTTGTTTCTTAAATTGCGTACTGCACTAACAATTTGCATGTTAGAGCACTAAGAGATCCACTTTATTCTTTTGTTGAATGGTTTGTGGTATAGGATTCACTGATATAGAAGCAATCCAATGCAGAGCTAATCTTATTCCCTTGCCATGTGATGTTAATGGGTATTCACTTTGCATCACTTTTCTTCCATGAACCTTTTGGAAAATTAACAATATTTTGTCCAGTATATTATCATCATAAAAAAGATAATTTTCGATGTCATAAACATTTATGTAATGTTCTGATATGAGGTTTGAAGGTAAGCATCTTCTTGTAGAAATTTGATATAGAATACGTTGGGAATTAAATTTAAGATGTTCGACAATGCTCCTACTTTTTCCTCATACAGATCACTTACTTAAAGAACCCTAGTTGTGGCAATTTTCTTTTCTGTTAAAAGCAATATGATCAACGTTTTCAATTAAATTTCATGTCTTGTAATCCTACTAGCATATATGCACATTGATTTGATTCTTGATGCATGCGTTCACCCAAATGTTTTTTTTTTTTTTTTTTTTCCCTTGATAAAACAATTATTTTAGTTGATTGATAAAGCAAGAGATCTTTTTGGGCTATCTGATCTGGAGAAGAGAACAGAAGATGGTGGCATTTTAAATGTTCATATTGGTGATGTCTTCGTTCCCTCAGCAGATTTGCAGGGAAGATATGCTGGTGAGTCATTCACATTGCATATTGCCTAGTTTATATCATTCCGTATTAGCTTTTTAACATTGCTAGCTGGTCAAAATATTTTTTATTACCTACACTTCTGAGTAAAAGAAACTCTGTATCTGTTTTTTCTTTCCATCCACTTGTGAAGAAAATAATGGATCATTGAAGCACAATTCAATTGTTAACATCGATGCGGCAACGCATGGTTGAATTGATCATGTTAGATGTCTCTTTTCTCCTAATTTATTTAAAGTGGATATTATTATGTTAGTATTGACCAACTTATATTTGAACAATTGTCAGGCATTGTAGTTGACTTGTTCTCTGATGGAAAAGTTTTGCCTCAGCTGCAAGAGGTATGTAGTTGTTTTTCTAAACACGTATTTGCATATTCTAGGTCATTGTGAAGCTCTTTTCGGCCAAATGACAGCTTGTGTACCTTGTCAGTATTATAATAGTAGTTTCAAATTTAAGCTTATACCACTCAAAAATATAAATTTGAAATTATTTTTATGTTTTCATACAATCTTGCCGTAATCTCATTTATAAGCCAAATTTCTTCAAGAGATACTTGAGTTAATAGTTTAGGTCATTCATTTATATGACATAGGAAGATGAGTTAATGGAATTAGGATACTCATCTGAGTTTTTCACATGACCATGTACAAGTCCCAAAAAGTTTGTCAAGTGCAAAGTCTTTGTCTCTATCTCTATTTTCACATGACAAGATCATGTGAAGAACTAATATGAGAGGATCAAAATCGAGGGTTAATTTGATCGTCTAAACCATGTCTGACTCATATATATCTTTGTAGAATATCTGGGAATAATGTATGGAGCAAGCCTACAGGTAGTTTTCAGAAAAATATAATTGATATTATGGAAAAATGGAAACAGTAAAATGAAGATGGATGGCACTCAAAAACGATATGCTTCTCTGCTACTACAATTTTAGTTACAGAAATCCCAAAAGTTGCACAGCCTCTGGTGAGAATACAAAAATTACTAATGAAAATTCCTGATAATCTTTAAAAAAGTTGTGATCTTTTGTTGTCTTGGTGATGAACATCTATTTCATCACGTTTTTATGTTCCTTATATTTCTATTTGTACAAAAGACTCCTCCTATGAGTTCTTCGTAGTTTGCTATCTATATTACAATTCAGTAATTCACAAGCAGTTATTCTGGTGCTTCCCCTTATTCAAAAATCAAGGCATGTTTACCTATTACTTACTCTAATTCTGTTTCAGCATTCTTCTTCTACAACATGCATAAACTTGGGGGGAAATTTTTGTTAAACGGAGGATTATGGAATCATAAAGCAAACGTTAATACTTAAAATGTTCCCAAATAGTGATTGAGTTAGATATTTTTTAATTCTGTATGAGCAACTTCTGGCAGTGATTTTCTTCAACAACAACACCACCTTTATCCCAAACTAGTTGGGGTCGGTGGTAGATGAACAAAAAAGAAGTTACGAAAAGATTGAGAAAAATGATAAAAATAAAATTTAAGTATATAATCCATAAAAAGTAGTACACAACTGCAAGGAAAAATAAATTAAAATAAAATACAATTAAGGATATATAAGAGGACAGAAAATAATAAGAATAAGAAGGTAAGAATTATAAAAAATAAAATAAAATAAAATATAGGGAGAAAAAGAAAAAGAAAACACATAAGCAAATAGGTAAAAGAAAGAAGAATGAAAGGAAAAAGAAAGAGGAGGGGGGAGATAAAGAAGAAAAGGACTAAAAAGGGACCGTCTGGAACATAGGAATAAAAATGGATCTAACTCTCTACCATGCTTATAGCTTTTCTCCACTCTGTCCTAAGACTCACCGTCTGCCAATTTATATCGCATTCCATTAGGTCTTGTTTTACTACCTTTCCCCAAGTAAGTTTCAGTCTACTTTTACCTCTCTTTGTGTCAAGTTCTTGGTAACCTAGGTTGTCAGTAGCGGCCTGTAGTGCCGCCAAACCGCTACCGTAGCGGGTAGCGGTGGTCGGCCGCTACAAACCGCGACGCTACACGACATTGGCCGTAGCGGAAGGTAGCGGCGTAGCGTAGCGGCAATACTGCTACCCGCTACACCGCTACCATGTTGGAATTTGATGGAGAACCGGAGATGATGATGATTTTCTTCATTAGTTCACTTCTTGTACTTGACTATTTGATAGTTTTATTGTTCATTTGTGTTTAGTTTTGGATCCTTCCTTTATGTTCCTTGTATTTGACATTGATTGTGGAATTATGTGTTTGATTTTTGTGTGACTTCTTATGTTTGAGCATTAATACTAAAAGCGGTATTGCCTCGTTTCTTGACTGTTAGTATAATATATATGGAATTAATACTTCACCGTAGCGGCAATACCGCTACCCGCTACACCGCTATACCATTTTCGGGGTCGGCCGCTATCGGCCGCTAACTGCTATTGACAACTATGTTGGTAACAAACTTTTATTCTAGCTGAAGCATCCAGGGATCTTCTCTTTACGTGCCCAAACCACCTCAATCTATGTTCTCTCATTTTTTCCGCCACCATTACTATTCTCACCTTTCGTCGATTATCTTCATTTCTTAATTTATTAAATTGCTTTTTTCTTGAGAAATCTAAGGAAAGAGAGTGTGATACAATTGAGCCTAAGACATACAAAAGGGACAAATCTAGGAGAATATGGATCCCAAACCAACAGGGCCCAAACGAAGAACAGCCCTCAGATACTGACACATCATCATTAGGAATGCCCAATAATACCCCGTAACAGAATGGTGCGTGAAGGGGGCATGAAGTTGGTTATATGGGGTGAGAAGAGAGAGAGAGGAAAGGAGGCTGGATCAGAGGAGTGGATTCCTTAGGAGAGTGTGGGACCTCTACAATTGTCTCACTGTTATCTTTTCTTTTATCGTTTATGTATTGTTGCTTTCTGGTTGAGTTGATGTAATTTCCATTAAAGATGAACCAAGCTCTGTTTCAGAGCATTATTTCCTTTATGATTAATATGAATGAGTGTTCAGGTATATATTTCCATTGTTAATTTGAGATAATTCTGGTTGTTCTGATTGAATCCTAACAATTGGTATCAGAGCTCCGATCTAGGAGCTCTGTGGAATGGTAATAACAAGATAGATGGAGCATCAAATGGACTTGATAGAAGAGGGGCTGCGTAGAGGGTGTGCAAGGCAGGAAGAAGTTCTACTAAGGCTTGATGCTAATGAAGCTAGGCATGAGGAATTGCTCCGTAGATTGGGAGCGAACGAACTGGGAATGACAGATATCCTCCGATGATTAGATGAGATGGCAGCGAGGAGGAGGGGCCAATCTCGAGACAGAGAGAATGAAGAAGAAGAAGACTCAGGCCATTCTGAAAGAAGAAATGGGAGGAGAGTTAACCTTAACGTACCTATGAACCGACGCTTGGAGGTCCCAATGTTTAGTGGTGAGGATGCCTTCGGATGGCTGAGCAAAGTCGAACGATACTTCATAGTGAATGGGGTGGCGGAGACAGAAAAGTCGGCCACCGTGTTGGTCGTATTGGAGGGAGAAGCTCTCCACTGGTTCCATTGGTGGGAGGCGAGCCATCCTAACGCGACGTGGGGACTTTTCAGGCGAGAAATTCTTAGTCGATTCCAATCAGAAGCCCTGGACAACCTATACAGGGCCCTGTATACGGTTAAGCAAATGAGGAGTGTGGTTGAGTTTCGGGATCAATTTGAGAAGATGGTTGGGGCTTTCCGTTTCGAAGACGAAGACCTACTTAAAGGGGCATGGCTCAACGGCGTGCGAACCAGTATTCGGGAGGAGCTACTCATGTCGCCGGAGCTTAGCTTGACGGAGATGATGAAGCTGTCTATTAAGGTGGAAAGGAGAAATGCTGCGTGGAAAGAAGAAGGGTTAGGGCCTATTGGTAGGAACTGGACCGCTAGACCGAGCCGTGTATCATTGGGCCAAACTCGCAACTCAGGCCCACATGAGAATAAAACGTGGTCCACCACCAACGTAAGTCCAGGAACGAATAAACCCACTCAATCCTTTACGGGATCTAGTCAGTCGAATGGGGGTCAAATGGGGAACCCTAGTGACGGTGCGGCGACGAAGGCAGCGACTCAGACCACCGGAATTTGCGCCGGAGAAAGCGATACCGGTCAAGTGAGACGGTTATCGCAAGCAGAATGGCGTGACAGACAAAACAAGGGTCTGTGTTTTAAGTGTGGGGATCGATGGCATGCAACCAACAAGTGGCAGGTCCGTCAGCTGCACCTCCTGCTGGTGGATGAGGACGACGAGGAGGAGAACGATGGAGACGGAGAAGACGCAAGGCTAGTTCCAGTGGAAGAAGAGGGGGAGATAGGGAAACCGCTACAGCTCTCTCCCTACAAAGTTTGTTAGGGCTCTCTTCAAGCCAAACACTGAAGGTATGGGGAGAAATCAGAGGCCAGAAGGTGGTGGTTATGGTCGATTGCGGGGCGTCGAGCAACTTTATAAAGAGCGAAATGGTGGAGGAATTGGGGTTGGACATAACTGATACCCTTTCGTATCAGGTGGAAATCGGGAACAGGTGTAAAGTCAGCTGCAAGGGAGTGTGTCAGGGGGTAGACATCAACATCCAGGGGACCCAAATCAAACAGGATCTGTACCTCTTTGAATTGGGAAGCGCAGATGTGGTCCTCGGCTTGGAATGGCTCACTCAGTTAGGGGAAATCAAAGCAAACTTCAAGGAGATGACCCTCAGGTATGGGGGAAGAGGGAGTGAAACAACAATCAAGGGAGATCTTTCGCTATCTCGCTCAGAAGCTTCATATAAGTCCATCACTAAGGCTCTGAGAAACCAGGCACAGGGGTTCTATGTGGAATCAACAGAAATAGGAGCTCAGGAGGAAGGGGGACAGTGTGTTGAGATGGAGCAATTAATTTTAGAATTTGCAGAAATATTCAGAGAGCCCAAAGGACTGCCACCAGCTCGAACCATTGATCACGCGATACACCTCCAAACAGGGAGCCAAGTTCCAAATATTCGTCCATTCAGGTACCCCCATTATCAGAAAACTGAAATTGAAGCTTTGGTGCCTGAGCTGTTTCAAAATGGCATGATTCGTCATAGCACGAGTCCTTACTCGAGTCCAGTTATTTTAGTTATGAAGAAAGATGGGAGTTGGCGCATCTGTGTTGATTACAGAGCCCTAAACAAAATTACAATTCCTGATAAGTTCCCCATGCCTATGGTGGACGAACTCCTTGATGAGTTGGGGGGGGGGGGGGGTCACAGGTGTATTCTAAACTGGACTTGAAAGCTGGGTACCACCAAATCAGAATGAGGGAGGAAGACATCCCTAAAACAACCTTCAGAACGCATGAAGGACATTATGAGTATGTGGTTATGCCTTTTGGGCTGACCAATGCTCCATCCACGTTTCAAGCACTGATGAATGAAATACTAAGGCCTTTTCTGAGGAAGTTTGCACTGGTCTTCTTCGATGATATATTAGTGTACAGCCGGAGCAAGGGGGAGCACCTGGAGCACTTGAGAGCCATTTTTGAGGTGTTGCAACATCACCAATTAGTGGCTAATATAAAAAGTGCAGTTTTGGTAGGGATCATATTGAATATTTGGGACATTATGTGTCGGCAGAGGGCGTCAAAGCAGATCCAGAAAAAATAAAGGCTATAGTTGCCTGGCCTACGCCTATGAATGTCAAGGGGCTGAGAGGATTTCTTGGGCTGACGGGTTATTATAGAAAATTTGTCAGGGATTATGGGAAGATTGCAAAGCCTCTTACTGAATTGTTAAAAAATGACGGTTTTCAATGGAATCCGGAAGCAGAAGAGAGTTTCCAGCAACTGAAAATAATGATGAGCTCAGTTCCCGTATTGACTCTACCGGACTTCAGCAAGCCATTCACAGTTGTAACTGATGCTTCAGGGAAAGGAATCGGAGCTGTCCTAACTTAGGAAAACAAACCGATTGCATATATCAGTCAAGGATTTTCAAGTCGGGCCCAATCAAAGTCGGTTTATGAAAAGGAGCTAATGGCCATCATTTTTGCAGTAAAAAAATGGAGGCATTATCTCATGGGCAATCACTTCTTTATTAAAACAGACCAAAGAAGCCTGAAGTTCCTTACTGAGCAACAGATTCTGAGTGAAAACCAGCAGAAATGGGTATCCAAGTTAATGGGTTTTGACTTTGAAATTCATTATCAGCCCGGAAAGGACAACCAGGTCGCTGATGCTTTGTCACGCCAAATGATCTTTGGGGCTTTATCTACGGTGCAATGGAAGGCTACTGATTCTTTGGAGAGTGAAATACAGCAGGACGAAAAGTTGAGGAGGATTGTGCAAGACCTACTGATCGCCCTTGATGCTCATAAAGGATTCACCGTCAGAGGAGGGAAGTTATTTTACAATTGTAGGTTGGTCTTTCTTAAAACTTCTCAATCTATCTCTTCTCTTTTGAAAGAATACCATGATTCTGGGGTGGGTGGCCATTCAGGATACTTCAGGACTTACAAAAGGTTATCTGGGGTTGTATATTGGGAGGGTATGAGGAAGGACATCAAAAACTATGTGGTTGGTTGTGCCATTTGCCAGCAATGTAAGTCCCAAAACTCGACTCCAGCGGGCTTACTACAGCCACTCCCTATCCCCACGCAGGTCTGGGAGGATATTTCTTTAGATTTCATTGGTGGACTCCCAAAATCTAGAGGAGTTGATACCATACTGGTAGTGGTTGACCGCCTTACCAAATACTCTCACTTCCTTCCTCTCAAACATCCATATACTGCTAAAGACATGGCTGAATTATTTGTCAAGGAAATAGTAAGGTTACATGGATTCCCTGTCACTATTGTTTCGGACCGGGATCGAGTATTTCTGAGTCACTTTTGGACAGAAATTTTTAAGTGCGCAGACACCAAGCTCCATTATAGCACAACGTATCATCCGCAAACCAATGGCCAAAAGGAGGTGGTTAACCGTTGTCTTGAGGCTTATTTACGCTGTTTCTGCTGCACCAAGCCCAAAGAATGGCCCAAGTGGGTTTCCTGGGCTGAATTTTGGTATAATACAACATTCAAGGATACAACCGGTATGACTCCGTTTCGTGCTTTATATGGCCGAGATCCCCCTACACTATTTAAGTGTGGCACCTTCGTTCCTACGATAGATGCTGTCTCACTGACATTGGCTGAAAGGGATGTGATTTTACAAGATTTACAGCATCATTTACTTAAGGCACAAGACCGCATGAAACATTTTGCTGATCAGACTCGTAGAAATGTCCAGTACAATGTAGGGGATTGGGTTTATCTCAAAATCCAGCCATACCGTCTGAAAACGATTGCTCGACGCATCAATGAGAAGCTTAGCCCACGTTTTTATGGTCCCTATCAAGTGCTGGAACGGATTGGGGAGACAGCTTACCGATTGCATCTCCCATTAGGCTGCAAAGTACACCCAGTGTTTCATGTTAGTTTACTCAAAAAGGCAGTCAAGGTGACGTCTACAATTCAGCCCCTACCCCCTGTCTCAGTGAAAATTGGGAATTAGTGGTTGAACCAGAAACTTTGCTGGATGTCCGACGTTCCCTGCAAGATACGGTTCAGGTTTTAATTAAATGGTGCCATCTACCCAGCTTTGAAAATACGTGGGAGGAGTTTGACTTTATCAGCACCCAATTCCCTCATTTCAACCTTGAGGACAAGGTTGTTCAAATGGGGGGAAGTATTGATACAATTGGGCCTAAGACATACAAAAGGGACAAATCCAGGAGAATATGGATCCCAAACCAACAGGGCCCAAACGAAGAACAGCCCTCAGATACTGACACGTCATCATTAGGAATGCCCAATAATACCCCGTAACAGAATGGTGCGTGAAGGGGGCATGAAGTTGGTTATATGGGGTGAGAAGAGAGAGAGGAAAGGAGGCTGGATCAGAGGAGTGGATTCCTTAGGAGAGTGTGGGACCTCTACAATTGTCTCACTATTATCTTTTCTTTTATCGTTTATGTATTGTTGCTTTCTGGTTGAGTTGATGTAATTTCCATTAAAGATGAACCAAGCTCTGTTTCAGAGCATTATTTCCTTTATAATTAATATGAACGAGTGTTCAGGTATATATTTCCATTGTTAATTTGAGATAATTCTGGTTGTTCTGATTGAATCCTAACAGAGTGATAGTGCTTAATGTATTTGGCAGGTTAGTACCTGGTTGGAATTACATGAGAGGTTGATGACCAATGGCCGTTTTATGGTGAACTGCGGTGGCAATGATGGGGGATCAAGTGTCAGTGATGGAAGTACTGATCCAGAAATTTTATCAAATGATGAGATATGGCTATTGAATCCAACATTGAAAGCATTATCCACTGCATTTCCTGGACAAGTAGGGTTTCTGTTGCTTATAGCATTGTGTTTGTCATGGCTTTTAAATTGTTTCATGCATTACACTATAATAGCACTTCCTAGGCTTATAAGCTCAACAAAACATGTAATCTTCATATGCTAGAGTACCGATACATAGAAAGTAAACCTAAGTCCTTACTCTAGTACAGAACGTTTCTGAAAAGAAATTTCTATTGTAAAATGTAAGGATAGATTTTAGGGTATTGTGTATGACCCATTATTTAGCATATAAGAACACTCACAAGCAAATGATGGAGACTGAGTGACTAAGATTGTCTGGAGACTTTTTATGAATTGGATTTTTAGGCTAAAGTATAAGGTTTCAAGTCCTTAGGCTGATTATGATGCTTGGCCCTTGGAATAGTGCTGCATTTAGCTTGTGATAGGATATCAAGGGTTCTTTATGCCTCAAAATTTCTTGCTCTGGTGATAATGTTATACTAATAACATAAAAAAAATACACAGATATTTTGCTATCAAATACTTACACTGCTGGTATAATCTGGTCGTGCATGATTTGAAATTTGGCTCCTTGATTAGACAATTGAAGTTCAGGGTACCTATCAATTGTGAAAAAAACAAAAATTATTATTTTGGAATTCAACTATTACAAATTAATTTAAAAGAGAGGTTCTTTTTTGTGCGATGCTTAATATCGCTATGGAAAGATGGAGAACCTTGTGGGATTTCCAGACAAAAGGAAAGCAGCATTATTGGGTCATTCAGTTTTCCAATTTAAATTAATTAGATATTTCATAGAGAAGTTTGTCTTTTTTCTTCTTCTTTTTTTCATTTTTTAATGAACAATTGTTGTACATATAAGAGGGCGAGCCTAGAATAGTGAGAAAGTTATTCCTTTGTGATTGAAAGATCATGGCTTTGAATCCGAAAAACAATCTCTTTGCAAATATGCAAAGGTAAGACTGCGCAAAAGAATTGCCTTCCCTCCTACCCTGTCTAGTCAGGATTTAACGGGGAGTGGTTTGTTATACTGCCAGTTTGACATCCTGTACTCTCTGATTTTTGAATTTCATCTTCAAGAATGCTTACAACTTGTGTTTGAATTTCTCAGCTAAGTTGGAAGAGAATGGCAAAGGAAAATGGTGCAAATTTTATGGCACTTACAGGATCCTTGCCTGATCTGAAATCTTGGTCTGCTAGTGTCCCATCTCCTCTGAGCGCAAGTGTGAAAGACTGGAGATCTTGTGGGCTGGTTTCTGGAATTTGATCTTACCACTTCATAGCTAACGTGACAATTGTTTTGCAGGGAAATAAGTCAAATTAGTTTTCTGGAAACTTCTTCAAACTATTATTTTCTCATTTTCTTGATGATAAATGGATATGTATACTATGGCATAATTGCTGTGCAGAAAGAAAGCTTCATTCTAGATTTAACTTACTTTTAATTTTGCCAACCGGGAATCGAAGTCATCTTAATAAAATAGGGAATCGAAGCCAACCGGGACAAGTTTTAAGTTACTCTAACAAGAGAAGTCTACAAATCAACGGAATAGACATAAAATTAAGTCGCTTATTGTCATGTTAGCCTTTTCATTTTTCAAACTTTTGAAGAAAGGAAAAGACTTTACATGAAGCTTTGAATGTGAAGAAACTTTCCAGAAACTGAAGCTTATTTGGATTAATCTCTACTCCTTACCAGACCTAAACCCGGTGAATCTTTTGATTGCCTATCTCTAAGTTGCCAAGGAAGCCATTAATTCTGTTTCGGTCCAGGAAGATTCATGCATTCAATTGCCTATATATTTTGTTATCAAGGCTCTACAATGATTTAATTGCATTACTAGAAAATTGAAATCCTTATACCATATCAACCAATATGACAAGTATTGCATAAATCATATTTGGTGGGATGAATGATTGTTTGGTATACCGAGTTGTCCCAATATGACTTAACATATGTAGAAACATGAAGAAAGGAAGAGACACAAATAGTAAAGAATCCAAGAACCAAAGATCAAGACCCATCTAACATGTTAATAACATTCCAATCAGGGCATTTAATATGTTCAACGGTTTTGCCAAGGTCCTCCATAAGTAATTGCTACGTTCAACAAATCACAATTCGGCTAATTGTAAGATTAACTGCATGCGCCCATCATACCACACTCTTTAAACCATGTTCTTGGAAGTTTTCTATAACGCCCCGTTGTACATTTGGTTCATTAACAATCCGTATGATATTAAGCGCAGTTACAATCACACTGGTTCAATTAAAAATACGGATAAACTTTTTCTTTAAACATTTTTTATTTCCTTTTAAACAATATTGTATTTAAAATAACCAAAACCATAATTGTAACCAAGTAATGTCGCGGAATAACTAAAATATGCTTAGACATAACATATTAGTCCTAAGGGATACAACTATGAGGTTCCCAAAGGTTTCACACTCTAAATTCTCATTTTTCTGGAAACTGGCTCCTCGCTGGCTTGCTCGCTCTAGTGAGCAGCTCAGCAAGCATTTCACGTGTGCTCTCTGACCTGCTCGATCGAGCGAGCATATCAGCGAACTCTTCACTCTTTTCCTTACTGCCCAGCTCGCTCCAGCAATGAGCAATTGGGCACTCAGTTACCATAGAAACAATAGCTAACCTCCAGCTCCCCTGCCCCTCACTCTCTCGCTCGCTCAGGCGAGGTTAAGAGCGAGCAATGCTTTGCTTTTATGAACCCCTTCGCTAGTCAGCTCGCTCAAGCGAGCATGCCAACGAGGGTTCCCTCGCATCAAGGTTAGCCACTGTCAACCAAATAATCAGCTCGCTGGACCCTTCGCTCAAGCAAGGTCCCCAGCGAGCAACCCAAAACTCTCACAAGATCCATTTGTTTCTTGAACAGACCAAGGGAGCACTTAACACTCTTTGGTACCTAATTGAAGCATGGAATGACAACCTCTAGTCCAACAAACTAGGGTGCACTTACATCCCAACAATCCTCAAAAACTTAATACACTTCTTATCTCTACATGAATTCCATGTTATGTGACTTTAACTTAATCTACATTACCATTGATATGGATATCTCAGTAAACTAGGGGTCCCTGGAGAATCTCTCCACCCTAAAGCTCACTTTAGGTAACAAGCAATAAATAACATAATCATGAATGCATGTATGTATGCATGCCAAGTGTGAAAATAACTGTATAATATTCCTGCTAGTTTTAACACCCCGTGTATACCCGATTTGTTAACACATCATCGTATTAAGCCACGCTTAATTAAATTTGCGAAATATCTTTTTTTTTCCCACTTATGACGTCATTATAATTAGCCAAGTTGATTACTTAATCAATTTCATAAAAACATGGCCCGTATGTAATTGCAAAAGATAACTAACTGAAATACCTCAAGATATAAATAAGTGAGTATCTAACTCACGGATCTACAACACGTAGTCTGGACAATATCCTGATACATTAGTACAACTCAAAACTAAAAACATAAAGTCAAGTCAATGTGGCATGGACAATCCCCATGCTCACCAAATAAAGCAACAAAGCCAACATAGTCTCAACAATAACAACATAATCATAAAGGTAGCAGAAAACATGCCAACATCAAATCATAACAGTATAATCAGCCATATCTAACTCAGTTCCGGCCTCCTGCCGCTAGAGGTCTCAACCCCTGGGTTACCTGAACCTGAAATAAGTGCCCCAAACGTGGGGTGAGATCTTTAACAGAAATCTCAGTAAGACAAGGGGTCCTCAAGGATCTTCCACCCCAAGCTCACTTACATGTGCAATATAAGTTCTAAAAACAATATACAATATCAATTCCAAAATCAGTGCAATGCAGCAGATAATCATGTCATGTGTGTCAATACTATTCTACTGGCCAGAGAAATGCAGGATTTATATACGTCTATTACACAATGGCTAAACCGATGATACGAAAGCTTACCTTGCAAGCTAACTATCCAAGCCAAGAGTCCACACAAGCTCAAAGTCCACACACAGCAGAATCACAATCTTTTTTGGACCAGCAATCATATCAATATCCAAACACAACAAGCATATGACATAAAGACAATGCCTTTTGTAACATCCCAAGTGCTGACGAGGGCGGGGAGTGATCGCCGGTGCAAAGAGGAACAGACAATGAGCGGCTCCTGGCAGGCGTCCAGCGAGGGGTTACATGCATGAATGAATCGAATCGACACCCGAAAGAGAGAGATTCCAAAGGCTGTGCAGGTATAAGGCTGCACAGTTTGGGATAGCTTATAAGAATTAATTGGTACTACCTATACTAACAAGATGCATCTACTTTTCGGTAGCCCGGAACGAAAGAACTCCATAGTTAAGCGTGCTAGACTTAGAGCAATTCTGGAATGGGTGACCTCCTAGAAGTTTTCCCGGGAAGTGTGCGAGTGAGGAAAAAGCACACTGAAAAGTCTCGTGTTAGTATGTGGGGATAGTCGTTGATTCTTGAAGCGGCCGGGCGTTACACCTTTCCTTTATGTTTCATGTCTTTAGGCTTCTCCCAAAGCCATAAGCCCTTAATCACTTAGATTCTGACTTAGATTAGTTATTACAGAAGTTCAACTTAATCAATCTAGGGTCCACAAACCCCAAACGCAGTTCTGTATGAACAGTACAGACATTGTCTCGAAATTCTCAGAATATCCAGATATTTGTTGGGGACATATCCGGATATCCAATATCTGGATATCATGTCTGAATATGCATATCCGGATATCTACAGAGCCCTTATCCGGATACCAATATCCGAATATCATATCTGGATATTTCGCGACAGAATATTGTTTCTACATTTCGCGAGATATCACTCCCAAGGTTCCATTTTTAACACTTCTATACGTTAAAGCATGCATCTTTAAGCCCATTAAGGTTCATATACTGGTTGGTTACTTAAACAACTCAATAAACATGCCAAGACTCCACTTTTAACCATTAAAACTCATGATCAAAGGTGATGAAGCTTACCCAAGCTTAAAACAGAGGTACAATGGCTCTTGGAGCTCTCACAACAGCTTCTCAAGTTCAGACTTGCAAGGAAAACGAAAATAGCACACCAAAGGTTGTTCTTTGCACCAAAGATCACTCCTTGGAGCTCAAAAATGAAAGAACCAAGCTCCCTCAACCCAACTCTCAAACTCAACACCTCCACACACACAACCAGATGCTACCACTCAGAAATGAATCAACCCACAACCTCACAAGACCAACTCACACAAGGCAATGGTGTTTTGGTAGAGAAACCAAGAGTAAAAATGGAACTTTTGGCTCAAGAGAGTGAGGGAAGGTGAAGGTGGCAAGAAGAGACACCCAGCTGCTGGAGCACAAGGAGAAAAGCACGTAGGAGGCACAAAAATGACCTAGGATCATGTGCCAAGGTCTTAAATAGCCAGTTAAGTTTTAATCGCACTGTATTAGCGCTAAATGCTACGCTTAGCATTTTAATCCCAAACTTAGGATTCAGAACCTACTCATTTTTCTAAGATTTGTCATATTTTTTTTTTTTTTGCAGCACCTTTCCGGTACGTGCTTTTACATAGCCACTATCAGTTCTGGCACCTCATTATTTCGACTTGAAACTTGTTTTACAAGTCATATATTTTATTCTAGGAATATTCATGCACTTATTATAATCTTTCGGGATACTTCATCAGTACGCATTTATACCGAGGAGCATAACCGATATCTGCACTTTTCATCAGAAAAGCGACTTTCAACATTATTAATTACTTTCTATAATTTTTTAAGCCATCTCATAATTATTAGGGTCAATTATGGAATTATTTCCTAATTCTCACTATTAATTAATTAACTTCCTTAATTAACGGTGCAGGTTCTTACACTAGTGCCTCGCACCATCCTCAGAATACAAACGACAGTGTCATAGCAATCCCTCATGGTAAACATGCCTTAAACAGGACGCTCTAGACAAAAAATCCTAAGGTCAGAGAACAGTGTATGATTTACGCAACCGTGCAACATACCGTAGGAATTACACGACCATGCAACCTACCCGTGTAAGAATCCCTCTTACACCACACCACAAACATCTCACATCATGCATTATATTCAATTCATTGCATAACCATATATATAACCAAACCCACTATCAGGCTTGGCGGAACACTAAGGGAAGAATTCCCAAGGCCCAAAAGCTTACCTTGTAACGCTTCCAATCCAAATACTTGCTCCAAGCACAAGAACTCCACTAATAAGGTATTCAAGGAAAACTCACTACAATAGCTTTCCAAAACTCACATCTACACAAGGTGCAAAATCAATCAACTAATTGCTAACAATGGAATATATTCATATTCATCACAACCAAGGTAATTCCACACATTACACAATGTTAGGAAACTCACCTACACCTGATCTCAA